GAAACTCAGACGGTTAGGAACGATGCCACCGACCAAGTGCCCATCACGTGCCAGGCGAGGTGCCCCATGTGTCACCTCACGTGGTCTCTCTGCAGCCCAGGAGGCAGGTGTCCTCTTTACACAGACAAGGAAACTGAGACCCAGAGAGGTAAAGCCCTGGGCCAAGGTTGCACAGCTGCTGAGAGATGGGGCCAGCTGCAAACACAAGTCTACGAGCTGAAGACTGGCTAGCTGGGCAAGGGTATCGGTGTGTGATGTACGGCACGGCTGGAGGATGGGGAGAGGTGGGTGAGAGAGGACGGTGACAGGCGAGGCACTCTCTTCTCCGACTGTGCACGCAGATCCCTCTGGGGGCTGAGTGCTCAGGAGAGGCCAGGCCAGGTCGTAGGGGTCCTTGCCCAGGGACTGGACGGTGTCTCAGACTCCTTCGGACCTGATTTTGGATGCCCCTGAGGAAGTGCTGGTGTCCTCACCTGGAAAATCAATGCCATCTGTCGGAACTGTCCAGGCCTTTGATCTCACTTGTTTCTCATCTTTTTAAGCAGCATTCGGAAATGAAGGTGCAAGCGAGCATCACCGGAGATGGCACCAGGATGGGTGGGAGCGGCAGGGGGCTGCCGGGGGGGAAGGATTGTTCTGGAAGGTGGAGCAGGGGGTGTGCAGGAGGAGGAGGGAGTCAGGAGCCAGGGAAGCAAGTGGAGCGACGGAAGCTGGGACCTCACTCCCCTTTTCCCTTTTAGTCTGGGCCCCTTCCCAGGTCACCTGATGAGCCCGCCTGCTTGGGGGATGCAGGCCACTGTGGGGGCCACAGGTGGAGGACCACACCCTCGAATCTGGGGGTCCTTCCCAGCACACGTCAGACCTGCCCACCCTCAGTGCATTTCTCTCTCTTAATCCTCATTGCTTTCACTGGGGTCCTCCCGCCCACCGCCCCGGGCAAGGGTACAGGTGTGGAAGTTAGGATGGAATGTTCTGCGCTGCAGGTGGCGACCCACATGTGGGGGTGAAATCAGTTTAGTGGGTCACAGCAGCCTTTGTTATGTAAGAAGTTGAATCGAATAGAAAAATAGCAGAGCACACTGAGAGTAATAAGGCTAAGCGTTGTTTGGTGAAAAAAAATGTGTTACGCATTCACGTATCATATAAACTGTTGCTGTGAGTGGTAGGCTGAAAAACGGGCCGTCCAAAATAGGTCGTGTCCTCATCCTCGGACCTGTGAGTGCCGCTTTATTTGAAAGAAGGGGTTTTGCACATGGGATTAAGGTGAGGATGTTGAGATGGGGAGATTATCCTGGATTATCCAGGTGAGCCCTTGATGCCAACGTGATGCTTCTGAGCAGGGAGAGGCAGAGGGTGGTTACAGAGCAACACACAGACAAGAAGGTGGGGGGCCATGGGGGCAGAGATGGGGTGATGCAGCCACGAGCCAAGGGTGCAGGAGCTGGAAGAGGCAGGAAGGAGCCTCCCTGGAGCCCAGAGGGAGCCCCGCCCCACAGACACCTGGACTCCAGCCCAGTGATACTGATTTTGGACTTCCGGCCTCCAGGACTGTGCTTCTAAGCCCCTCAGCTGTGGTAGTTTGTTGTTGCAGCCACGGGAAACGAATACGCTTTGGAACAAACAACCCCAAAGCTCAGAAGCATAAGTCAGCCATCGGTCATCCTGGTTCGGGGCCTGCGGGCTGGCCGGGGCGCAGCTGGCCGGGCTGGGCTCCGTTGGTGGCTCTGCCCACCTCGTCATCCTCCTGGGATGACCGGGCAGACCTGCGATGCCCTCCTTGCAGGAAAGCAAGCCCAGTAGGGCAGGTGGAGACGGTGAGGCCCCGACTCAGAACCGGCACCTTGTCACTCTCGCCCACGTGCCATCGGCCAAAGCAGCCACCTGAGCAAACACAGATTACGGGATGGGAAGAGCCCTCCCCCCAGAGGAGACCCTGATAAGGGTGAGGATGTAGGGAGAGCCCAAACTCAGTCCGCCCCACAGGTGTGCATGTGTGCATGCAGGGTCACTGTCTGGTGTACACCCCTCCCTGTGCGCTGGAACAGTTTGGAAGCTACTGACCAGTGGCAGAGAACCTGGTTCCAGGGGCATGTCCCCAGTGCCCTTGACCCAAGGGTTCACGGGTTTTCTGGGCCCAGCTCTGCCTCTCTGCTGCTCTTCCCAGGAATCAGTCCAGAGGGTTCTGGGGGGGCTGGAACGTCTCGCCTCTCCCCCTCCCCCCACATCCTCAGAGGAAAAGAGGGGCTCCTCCTTGCAGGGTCCAGGGAGGGAAGAGGACTGCTCCCCGACAGCCTTAACCAGTCAAGGTCCCAGGATGGGACATGCAAATCGCGAACTAGCTTACACTCATCAGCGTCCTGGTCGTCTGCCTTCAGACCACATGGGTGCATGGGTGGCCTTGGAGAGGCCCCGGGGCAGAAATCTCCCAGGAGGCTGGAGGCCATGGCCTTTCCTCCCCTTGGGTGTGTCCCTCCTGCCCCTCCATCCAGAACCAACGGGGAAGAGATAGGGCTCTTGCACCCCCTCCACCCCTGAGCCCTGGAGAGCGTCTGAGGCCATGGTCCAGGAGGCCATGGGTCCCCGGACCCTGGACCTCTGTGGATAGAGGACTTCTTTATCTTCAGTGACCCCGTGAGCCAGGGGCCTGGCAGTCACTGCAGATGGGGGAGCACAGTGCAGTGAGGGCTGGGCTCTGGGGGAGCTGGTGGGCATGGGGGGGCCAGGCCATGCACTGATTTCTGCCTGAGGGTCCCAGGGGCCCCCACCCTAATGTGCCCCTCTCTCCCAGGAGGCTGTTCTTGCAGTGTTGAGGCAGATGGTCCCAGACACAGGTGTCCTGACCTCCAGCTGAGATGGACAGGAGGCATTAGGCCCTTGGGGTACCCTGATGGGGAGGGTGCCAGCCTGGGGAAGTGTGGCCCAAAGGCAGGGAGCTGGCCTCAGCTGGGTGCTCTCCCCAGAAGCCAGGGGCCGGGGTCGGGAAGGGCTCAGGGGATGGGCAGGAGGGTCCTTCCAAGGGGCCCTATGAGGTGTCCAGCGCCATGTCGTGTCCAGGGTGGGAGCAATGCTCGTCCAGTGGGTGGGCGGGACCCACAGGTCCTCCTGCTATGGATCTCTTTCAAACGCCTGCCAACCCTCAGCCTCCTTCACTCGTAGGGAAAAGCCCACGCTTTTTGATAGAGTGTCAGTTGCCCTGGCCCCTGCCCACCTCCCCAGCCCCCCGAATGCCCCAGCCTTGTGCAGCCAAGGGCGTCTGTCCTCCCAGGAACATGCGCCCTCCAGCCTCGCGCAGGCTGTTCCCTCTGCCTAGCATGCCCTTCCTGGCGCTGATCAAGCAGCCACTCCTTGGCCTCCACGTCTCCCCAGGCTCTCTCCTGCAAGGCACCCCCTCAAGGCCCTGGAAGCCCCCACCACCTGCTGTGTTACCCTTGGTGGGCGTGGGTTACATTTGTCCCTTGTCCCTGGTCCACCTGTCAGGCTCAAAGCCTGCAACCCCCTCTTGTTCACCAGAGCTGGCCCACCCCTACCTGTCTCTCGGCTTCAGTTTCCTCATCAGGAAAGTCAGGATCTGCCAGTTTCTGCCTCGGGTGTGGTGCAACGCCTGGGCCCTGCTGAGAGCTCAGTGGGGGGGGGGGTGCTGTCATTGTCACTGTCACCGTTGTTGTTTCTGCCCTGTTGTTCCTTCTGCTGCAGAATAAATGAATGGAGAAACTCTTCTCATTTATAAGCAAGAGGGGATATAATTCTCTGCCTTGAGTGCGTAATCTGTCCCCACCTGTGGGACCCGTGGGCCGGCAGGAATGCTGGGGGCAGCCCTGGGGGCTTGCTGCGAGCAGCTGCCATCCCCGTTCAGCAGTGTGATTAGTGGAAGTCAGGTTAGTCCGGAAAGTCCCCACCAGGCTGCCAGCACCTGCTCCCGACTCCTCAGAGCTGAAGGAGTGAGGTGGTCTCTGTGGGGCGCGGTTGGAGCTGCCTCGGGCCCAACAGGGGGAAATTAGACTGGTGTGTGAGGGTGGCCCCAGAGCCTCTCCTCTGCGAGATCCCGGCCCCGGTTCACCAGGCTGGCTTTGCACACATCATGCGCACAATTAACCAGGCTAATGCCCGTGGGTTCTCAGCAGCCCCGTGCTGAGCGCAAGGTGGTGCTCACTGCTTACTCGGATGACGGGTCACATGGCGCTTCTGCCCCTGGAGAGCTTGAGGTTGAATGTAGCAGAGGTACAGAGAGAACAGGGGATGCCTAAGGGACCCGCAGTCAGAAGCACCAGGGCAGGACCCCAACACTGCCTTTCATGCCCTTGGGCCTCCCATAGGTCACCAGAGTGTCCCAAGCCTCAGTTTCCCCTCTGACACACGGGACTGCAGTGGGTTAAGTAGGTCACCCCCACATTCATGTCCACCCAGGACGTTAGCGTGACCTTATTTGGAACAGGTCTCTGCAGATGTAACTAAGATGAGGGTGGAGGTGAGGTCATCCTGGATCAGGGTGGGCCCTGAGTCCAGTGATGGATGTCCTTATAAGAGAGGAGGACACACAGAGACGTAGAGAGAAGACAGTGACTGCAGTGATGGAAACACAAGGCCGGGGCCCCCTGAGCCCCAGAAGCAGGCAGACGCAGGGAAGGGTCCTCCCCAGAGCCTTGGATAGGGCATGGTCCTGCCTGCACCCTGATTTCAGGTTTGCCGGCTTCTGGCCTCCAGACTGGGAGCAATAAATGTCTGCTGTTGAAGCCCCTGGCTTGTGGGGCTTTGTCAGGCGGCCCCAGGACACAGGCACGGGCTGTAACCCCCACAGGAGGTCCTGGGGGGGCTTGTGATGGCACCAGGCCCGCGGGCAGTGGACGGTCCTGGCCCTGCCGGGCCCCTCCCCCACTGCCTTTCAAAGTCCCTTCCTGGGACGCCTGGGAACAGGTGCCTCTCTGGAGCGGGGCGGGAGTCTATTTCAGTGTGCCGGGAAGGGGTGGGCCTGGCCCTCCTCAGGCATGAGGGTGGCAGCAGCCACGTGACCCCCTGGTGTGTCCACCCAGAGACGTGCTGGCTGCAGAGGCTCTCACCCCCACCCAGCTGCCCCCTGCAGCCTCCACGGTGCCGGCCCTTCACGCGGAGGCCACACTCCATGAGGATGCCTGGAGGAGAGACAGGTAGGCCCACGCCGCCCTGTCCGCTGAGACCGTCGGCCGGGGAGGAAGGCTTGTTTTCTCACTGGAGTCTCGATTCCCACAAATTACCTCGGGGTCTGACAGGGCGGGTGGCAGCCTGTGCCCCACCATGGGTGAAGGCGGTGGGGCCGGTGTGCCCAGCTGTATGCCTGGCGTCAGGGACTCTCTTATGGACTCTGGATGCCAGCCATAGAGTGACCCATTTAACAGATGACTAAGCTGAGACTCGGGGAAGGGGAGGGTCTGTGTCACACTGTAGTGGGTGTTGCTGTCCGACCCCAAGATCTGGGCCGAGGCACCAGGCCCTCGGCCACTGCACCTGCCCCTCCCTCCCTCCTTTCCACCCTTTCTTCCTCTGAGGCAGCTTCTTGGTTCTCAACCGAGGGCAATTTTGCTTCCTGGGAGACACCTCTGATTGTCCGAGCTCGGTGTGGGTGGCGCTGCCGTGGGCACCTGGGGCGTCGAGGCCAGGGATGCTTCCCCGCCCCTCGCAGTGCACAGCGCAGCCCCACACAAGAGTCGTCTAGCCCAGAGTGTCAGTTGAGCCGAGGCTTAGAATCCAGCCTTAAGAAAGATCGTAAAGCGTCCTTCCGGTGTTGACGGAAGAACAGGGCCCATCAAGCCACTTAGACAGAAACAACACCGAGCTTACAATTCACTCCAACCCCACGTGTTGACACGCTGCGCTGAGGATGATGGGGGAGAGAGCTCTGGGGCAGGGGTCGGGGAGGGGAGGAGACACAGAGGACAGGGGAGTGTGATGGAAGAAGGGAGGGGGCAAAGCCGGGGGCCTGGACCCCCAGGAGCAGAGAGGTGGGGATCACGGGAAAGCCTCCATGAGCCTGAGGTGTGCAGGGGCTCCGGCCGGGGTCCAGCCTCCTGCAGGCTCCTGCCTCCATCCTGCGATGCTCCCACCCTGTCCTCAGGCCTCCGTCCCAGCACGAGGCTCGGTGCCCGGGGGCCCCCTCTGGGCAGCCAGGACAGAGCTTTCCCCTCACTGGTCCTCCTTTCTGGCCACGGCATCTGTCCAGAAGCAGGATCCGGGACCCCTTGTCCGTACGGCCCTGCCAGCACCCTGCACTCTGGGAGGCTCAAGGATTTTTTTATTGAAGGTGGCAGCTCTCGGGTGTGGCAGCTGCAGTGGCCTTGAAGCCAGATCAGTGAAGCTTCCAGCCCTGACTGTGACCTGACCTCCCTATGGGCCTGGTCAGGGCCCTTCACCGCTCGGGGGGCGGGGGGCATCCAGGACCCCTCTGTAAAATTGGGTTGAGTATGGTTCCTCCCTCCCAGGGTGTCATGAACTGGCAGAGCAAACCTTCCGTCCTTGTTTCCCCCAAAGCGGGAAGTTGTGGATGCCCCCGGGCTGGCAGCCCTGCATGGAGTTCCCACTCTGGGCCCTAGAGCCCCAGTTGGCTTGGGGTCAGGCAACATCCCCCGACCTGGTCAGCATACTGGATTGTTCTGAAAATACCGCTGGATTCTGAGAGCTGAGACACGTGACGATGTCCGCTTCTCAAATGGAATTTCCATGCCGGCGGTTGGGCGGGTCCCCCTGCTCTGCTGAGAACACGGTGTCCTTCATGCCCTGCTGCGCCCTCACGGCAGCGGATGGGAGCGCTGCGGGGAAGAGCCAAACAATGGTGACGCTGAGATGTGCACAAACCCGGTGAAGCAAGCACTGTCGCTCCCGATTCCCAGATGAAGAAACGGCAGCTTGTGATTAGAAAACAAAAGCGCAGTAAGGGAAATGTGATTCTATTTATGTAAAATTATGGTAAGAGCTAAAGCTAAAAAACACCTATAAAATTCTTAGAAGGAAATATAGGGCTAAGTCTCTGTTATCTTGGATCAGGCCATAGTTTCTTAGAAATGACACTAAGTACACAAGCAACAAAAGGAAACGTAGGTAAACTGGATCTCATCAAAGTCCAGCCCTCCGGCGCTGCAGGGAGTGTTGTGAAGAAAACGGAGACACAGCCCACAGGAGGGGAGACGATGCTTGCCAGTCCTGTACTGAAGGAGGGACTCGTGTCCAGAATATATAAACGACTCTCATGACTCAACCAGAAGTAGACAGTCACATTCAACAGACGGAGGATCTGAATAGACATCTTTCCAAAGAAGATGCGGAAATAGTGAGCAAGCACGTGGAAAGACGCTCAGCATCATTTGCCGTCGGGAAATGCAAATCCAAACTGCAGGGAGACACGCTCCACACCCACCAGGCTGACTGTGACCAAAAAGCCCGGCCCTGACTAGTACTGTCAAGGATGCAGAGACATTGCAGCTGGCGGGAGGGTGAATGGTGCCGTTGCTTAGGGAAGCAGTCCGGCAGCTCCCCAGATGGTTGAGCCCAGAGTTGCCGTGAGACCCAGCAAGATATGGAAACATACGTCGACACAAAAGAGACTGTGCCTGAATGGGAACAGTGGCTTATTCGTAACAGCCCTGAAGTGGAAACAACCCCAGAGTCTTTCAACTGATGCATGTGTCCGCGTCGTGTGTTCACATGGTGGCATATCACTGGGACACAGAAAGGAAGGGAGCGCTGACACACGCTGCAGCATGGATGAAGCTTGGACACGTGATGCTCAGTGAGAGAAGCCAGACAGGAAAGACCACATGTGGTCCCTTTTTATTTACACGAAATCTACAGAATAGGCACCTCTAGAGAGACAGGAAGCAGATTATTGGTCGCCGGCGTCTGCGGGAGGAGGACTGGTAGGGAACTTCTTTTGGGGGTGATGAAAATGTTCTAAAATGGATTGTGATGACCAGCACAACTCTACAAACATGCTGGAAACCACTGACTTGTACAGTTGAAATAGGTGAAGCGTACAGTATGTGAACTGTATCTCAATGAAGCTGTGTCTTTCTTAAGGACACACTGAGCCCCTCCGCGGAGCGGGGAGGGTTCCCCGGAGCCGGGAGGGTTCCCTGGAGCCGGGAGGGTTCTGCAGAGCGGGGAGGGTTCCCTGGAGCCGGGAGCGTTCTGCAGAGCGCTTGGGGTTTCAGTTTTGGAGCAAGCCCGTGAAGACAGTTGAGGGCTCTGCCCCACGAAAGAGTACGTCTCACTGTAGTGTAAATTCCATCATACGTGTGTCTATGAATATGTATGTTTGTTTGTTTGTTGGTGGCATAGAAATGGCCGGTGGGACGGCCACTGAGGTGCCAGGCGGTTATCTCACAGATTAGCAGGGGATTTTCATTTTCTTCAAGATTCGGGTATTTGTGGGTTTCTTACAATGAAGAGTGTTACTTATAGACACCAAAGGAACCCCTGTCTCAGGAGGTGGGTGGTGGCTCTGGGCTGGGCCCCCGTGCAGCACCGTCTGCCACTGAAGATCTGCGGCCACACTTCGGCCTGTCCACTGGAGCTGGGACTTGTCCCCGCAGACAGGCTGTGTGACCAGGCATCCACAAACCTTGGCCTGCCTGAGTATAGAGGCCAACTGCGACCTTTGGATGTTGGCCTGTGTGCTGGGCCCTGTGGGTACAAATCCAACACTCCCTAAGGCCGAGGTTAACCCGAGGGGCCGGTGTTGACTGATGCGGTGAAACCCCCCACCCCGTGTGCGTCCCTTCTGCCCATCCCGCTTTCCCTGGGCTCCAGGCAACAACCTGGAGACCCAGTTCTTTCCATTTTGCTTTTAATAGAGGTGCTGGGGACTGAACCCAGGACCTCATGCACGCTAAGCAATTGCTGTACTGCTGAGCTATGTGCCCCCCAATCCGGGCGCCTAGTTCTAATTAGACACTCAGGACATGCACCCGCTACCGCTGCCTTCCTGGGACCAGCAGGTTGGGAAGAGGACGTGCACAGGGACAGAAAGTTAAAGGGGGAAAACGGCCGGAAGAAACAGGAAACCAGTCCTGTCACACGGAGACCCAGCTTGAGTCCCCACCTGGCCAGTTCCAGGCTGTGTGATCTTGACAAGTTACTGAGCATCTCTGAACCTCAGTTTCCCCACCTGCAGCATGAGGTGATCATGCCTCTCTGGCTGTTTTTTTTTTTT